GGGCATGGCTCAGGGTAGAGTGACAGCCTAGAATCCTCAGTGAGGGGCTGGGGGCGTGGCTCAGGGTAGAGTGACAGCTGGAATCCCAGGTGAGGGGTTGGGGGTGTGGCTTAGCTTACAGGCCCACCTAGCATGTGCAAATACACTGGGTTCTCCTCAGTACTGCAAAAAATAAAGAGTTCACTTCCGGTTTGCCGCAGTCTCAGAACTCATCCCACTGGTGCAGTGTCACACAGGGGTCCCCACATCTGGGTCACCCTCCTTTGTCCCCCACTCCTCCTGTGGGCTTCCTTGTGGGCAGAGTACTTAACATAGCAGGGCAGATCACCAGGGCTCTCAGTTCGGGGTGACTCTGCCCCAGCAGCCCCTGCGTGATATGTGATCCGTGTGGCTGTCACAGTGGGGAACTCATGGATGGAGTGAACTGAGGCCCAAGACTCAGCTCAGCACCCTGCAAGGGCCGAGGACGGTAGGCCAGTGTCTACAGCACCCAATCCACGCTAGTGACCTGGATTACGTCCGTCCGTCGGAGACACCCTGATGGAGCCCAGGAGCTCAAGGCTCCGGAAATGACATCAAGGCCCTCCCGGCCTTCCGCCTTCCGGGGAAACAAATTTGAGGAGACGCTGCCCCTGTGTGGACAGTGCTGGAAGTGTAGTCTGCGGCCAGGATCCTTCATTTTATCAATTTTAAGCATTAAAAAATTCAAGTATAAATCCGGCGTGGTGGCACAGCCTTTAATCCCAGCACTTGGGAAACAGAGGCAGGCGGATCTCTGTGAGTTCGAGGCCCGCTTGGTCTTCGTAGTGAGTTCCAGGACAGCTGGAGCTACAGGGAGACCCTGTCTCAAAAAGACAAGAACAAAACAAACAAAAATTTGGGTGTGGTTACTGGCTTCTGGGGCTCTGAGATTGGGAATGTCACACGTGTCCCCACGAATCCCCAGTGTCCGTGGGGGCTGAGCCAGCGATGGGAGCTGCTGAGTCTGGGTGTCCTGGGCTCTGCAGGGTGCTAAGCCAGATAACAGGCCTGTGCCATCAAGCCTGTTTCTGTTTTTCTGTTTTCTGCATTAATGTGTGTGTGTGTGTGTGTGTGTGTGTGTGTGTGTGTGTGTGTGTGTAGGAGCTCTTGTTTGTTCCGTTTTTTTTACTAACGCTCTGTTTTTGTGTGTGTGTGTGTGTGTGTGTGTGTGTGTGTGTGTGTGTATCAGAGCTAGTTGGTTCCGGCTTCTTTTCAAATGCTCTGTTGTTGAGTCTGTCACTCTAGTAAAGGACTCGGATTCATTGGATATGTTACCCTATTTTCATAGACGAGATGACAGGGTCAGAGAGCAAGCAGCTTTGTTTTCAGTTAAAAAGGAAAAAAAACAAGAAAAGCCATGCTGTGTGTAGGTGCCTGAGATGGACAGATTCAGAGAATTGGGTCACATGTCCATAGGTGATAAGTCCCCAGACTTGCCATCGGTTAGAAGGTGGCAGATCCTAGGCACCAGGCTCAATATGGTCATCAGATCTCCGACCCTGAGCTTGGGAGATGGCTCAGCTGGTAAGAAGTCTACCTCACCAGCTCCTTGACCTGCGTTCATATCCCCAGGACCCAAGTAAAAGTCCAGAGTGGTGGCTCATGCCTGTCATCCCAGCACTTGGGAGGTAGAGGCAGGAGGATCAGGAGTTCAAGGTCAGCCTCGGCTACTAGGGAGTTAGGGGGCTAGCCTGGGCTACATGAGACTCTCTCAAAAAGAAAAAAAAATAGAAAAAGCCATTTGAATGTTGAACCCTGGCCTAGGTGTTGGGGACAGAGGAAACTCATACTGAACCAATTAAATGTCTTCAGGGCAGCACAGGGTGGGGGAGTTGGGTCAGGGCCAAGTGCTAGAGAGAGGGGAACCCCAAGGTTGGCTGGGATGGTTGTGACCTTGCCTGGTGTGTGTTTGGTTTTGTGTTGTGAATTTTGTTTGTTTTTATTGCTACGGATGGACCCAGGGCCTTTGCACGGGCTATGCAGTGCTGACCACTGAGCCCCAGCACCAGCCTTAGATTTTTGAAACAGGGTCTCATGTAGCCCAGGCTGGCCTTGATCTATGTAGCTGAGGATAACCCTGAATTCCTAATCCTTCTGCTTCCACCTCCCTAGTGCTGGGGTGACAGGCCTGTGCCATTATGCTTGGCATAAAAAATTAAAAGAAGAGAGAAACATAAAAAGTTCTAGAGGTTGAGAGAGGACTCCACAGAAAACAGTACTTGCTGCTCTGCAGAGGACCGGAGCTTCAACCCCAGCACCCATGTCAGGTCCTGCTCCAGGCAATCTAGTGTGTTCTTCTGGCCTCTAAGGGCACTGCACACAGACAGACATAAAAATAAATAAATAGGGTGGTAACATACACCTTTAATCCCAGCACTCAGGAGGCAGAGACAGGTGGATCTATATGAGATCCAGGCTAGCCTGGGTTATATAGTGATTTCCAGGACAGCTGGGGCTACAGGGAGACCCTGTCTCAAAATTTTTTTTAATCTCTAAAAATAAAATCCTAATATATAGATTGTGCAAACATCCAGTCTTGACTTTACTTGAATGATATAATGAATACAAGAAACCTATGCAAAGGCCCTGGGGCAGGATAGAGCCTGGGGTGCTGGAGGAGTAGTGAGAAGGCCTGTTTGTCTGGAGCAGAGGGAGTGGGGTGCAGAGCGGGAGGAGGGAGGACAGGACAGGGCCTTGTGAGGTGCAGGAAGGACTCTGGCTTTGATGCTGAGGGAGGTAGGAGCCATGGAGGGCTGTGGGAAGAGAAGGAAAGGAGCTGACTCAAGTTTTAAGGTTTCTAATCCTCACTTAGAATCATGCATGGTACACAGTAGGTGCTCAATAAATGCTCAGGTAGCGAGGGAATGAATATTTGTCCCTCTGGGGAGGGACTCCTTGGTGGAAGGCTTGAGAGGTACTAAAGGAAATTCAGGCAGGTATCAGTTGCCTGCCGTCCAGACCTGGACAGAGGCCCCCACTTCCCCTGGGGACTGTTCAGTGGCCACCTGTTCACCCCCGCCTCTGATTAATGAGGGACAGCTCCATCCATCACAGGAGCCTCTGCGCTGCCCCTGCTGCCGCTGTTTGCTCATTTGTAATGGAGGTCAAGCCTCCCACACAGCTGCTCATGGAGACAGGTAGCCTGCCCCCATGTGGTCCTAAGAATTCAAGAGTGCCAGCCAAGTGTCATCAAGGGGGGTTTGGGGTGAGCAACAGTTTCTCAGTCCCTAATCTGCTTTTATGGTGGGATCCATTCAGGAGGGTCTCATATAGCCTAGGCTGGACCTCAAGTTACTACATAGGCAAGGATGACCCTGAACTCTTGATCCTTCTGCCTCCACCTCCTGAGTGCTGGGATGACAGGTGTGCACCTCCAGGCCTGGTTTATGTGGTGCTGGGGATGAACCCAAGGCCTCATGCATACTAGGCAGGTGCTACCAACAAACTCCAAGCACTCTGCCCTGTCCACTGAGCTCCAGTCCTGCCCTTAGCTGGAACTTACTGTGACCCCAGGGACACTTGATGTCCACCCTCATTCATGCCCATCTCAATTCACAGAGAAAGCAAAGTCAGAGGCTGTCTTGGCACTCGGTGCTCTAGCACCTCCATGGTTCCCTAGTGCCCTCTGGGTTGCATCTCAGCTCTGGGGCAAGTTTCCCAGCCTGACCTTTGTATATGTCCCCACAGAAGGACCACCCCGAGCCACAGTCCCACAGGGTGTCTGGAGGATGTGGATGCTGCCGGTTTGGCCAGGAGACGATTAGACTATCCCAGGGATGTCTTGGGCACCCTGGGGTGGTGGCCACACAGGCCCAGCCACCATCACTTGCTTGTCCATCAACCCTAAGCCTTGAAAACCCTTTGCCAGTTGCAATTAAAGGTGATAGGAAACAGGGTGAGGGGATCCTGTGTGCTGATGGGGACACCGGCGACAAGACCAGCCAGGCCTGGGAGCACAGGCTGTCACCCAAGCACCCGGAGGCTGAGGCAGGAGGATCAGGAGTTAAAGGTCATTCTCGGCTACATAATGAGTCTGAGGCCAGTCTGGGCTACATGAGCTCCTGTTTCAAAAAATCTGAAAAAGGGCCTGGAGAGCTGGCTCAGTGATTAATAACACTGGCTGCTCTTGAAGAGAACCCGGGTTTGGTTCCCAGCACCCACATGGCAACTAGCAACCATCTGTAACTCCAGTTCCAGAGGAACTGGGACTGTCTTCTGGCCTCCACAGGCATTGCACACATGGGTGCACTCACATGCAGGCAGAACACTCATACACATAATATAGAAATAAATTAAAAATAGACTTTCAAAAGCTGAGAGGTGGCCTTCATCATATTAGAAGCCAATTCCTGGTGAGGGCAGGGAGCCACCAGCTCAGAGTCCTGCCCCAGGGCCTCGATCCGGCCTCTACTCCTCCCCTTTCACCTGAAGGCTCCATGGCCCCCCTGTCTTTCATTGGGGTCACTCTGTAGCCTCATCTGACTCCAAAGTCGTGGCTCTCCTCCTGCACACATGTGTGGCACATAGTAGGTGCTCCATAAATGCACATCAAAGGGATGTCTTCTAGGATGTCAGCTTTGTACACTGGAACAGAGGCCCAGAGACATCAGCCTCTAAGAGCAGGGCCCAGCTCACCTGGTAAACAGCAGTTAGTGCATAAATGCACACTGATTAAATAGCTCCTAGGACCTGACCTGGCATTGTGTCCTCTGGAAACTGAGGCCCAGAGGGGCCAGTCTCCAAGGCCAAGGTCACCCTGGCATACAGTAGGTGCTGCATAAATGCACTTTGGAGGTATAGCTCTAGGACGCCAGACAGAAATGGGGGTGTGGGTGGGGTCCTCGGGGCGGGTCGTCCTGGGGAAACTGAGGCCGGCGCTCCCCCTCGCGGGGGGGCGGGGCGCGGGGCCAAGGTCACGGGTGGGCGGCGTCGCGGGCCTGCGCAGTGCCGGGTGGCGGCGGCAGGTGGAGGATCGGCCACCGCGTCGAGCCGCCCGAGCCGGGGCGCACCCTGCGCCCCCCGTGACTGACATGATGTTTCCGCAAAGCCGGCACTCGGTAAGGGGGACCCCGCTCCCCGAGCTCGCCCTGCACCCCCAGACCAAACCGGGCCGATCCCCGGGGTCCCTGCACCCCCTTTCTCAACCCTGCACCGCCGGAGCTCGTCCCACACGCCCCAGCCCCCATCCGTCCTGTCCCCGGACCCCTGCACCCCCAGGCCTGGACCTGCACCCCCCCCAGTCGCGCCCTGCACCCTCCCAGCTCCCATCCGGCCTGTCTCAAGGTTCCCTGCACCCCTGGAGCTCGCCCTGCACCCCCACAGCTCGGGATCCGGCCTGGCCCTGGCCGGCTGTCCTGCCCCCCCATCCGGGCCCTGCACACCCCCCCCTTCAGCTCCAGCCAGGCCTGTCCCTCAGCCCACAGCCTGTTCAAGGTCCCCACGCTTCCTGCACAGCCCATCCCTCAACCCACGACTCTGTCCCCAGGGTCCTTGCACCCCACAACCCAGGCTCCGCTTCCCCGACCGTCTGGACCTTGCCACTTCCAGGCAGGAACCCTGAATACGAGCCCTGCCCAGGTTCCCCCACCTTCCGGCTGCAGCTCCCCCAACTCCAAGTCCAGGACCAGCCTGTTCCCCAGCTCAAGGCCCTAAGCCCCCCATCTTGGCCTGCACCCGGTTCCAGCCGCTATCAGACCTGTCCCCCAGTCTGGGGCCCTGCACCCCTGAATGCAGGCTCTATACCCTCTCCCCGCCTCCAGCCCTGTCAGGCCTGGCCTTACCATGCAGGCCTAGCACCCCCCAACAGCGCGGTTCTGCACCCCAGATCCACGCCCTGCCTCCTTTCCCAGTCTTATCCTGACCCTCAGCCCCCAGCTCCAGCTGGTCCCCCCTCAGCCTGGAGCCCGGAAGTCCCTTCCTTTTGTCCCCCTTCCTGACTCTGCCCTCCATCCCCCCACCCCCAGCTCTAGGTTCAGCCCCTCCAGCTCTGGGCATCTTTGGGCGGACTAAAACGGGGGACCATGGGGGATCCCCTCTGGAAGAGCACACCCCTGAGGCAACATATCCAGGGTGGGGTACCCCCAGGAAATTTGCAGTGCTGAACTAGGTACCTCCTCAGAGCAGACTTTGAAGGGAGACCTTGAGCCAGGCTTCCCGGGGATCCCCCCTCCAGAGACAACTGGGGTGTACTCTATTCCAGTCCTTTGGAGGGCTGATGTGGGGGTGACAGTAGAGGGTGCACCCTTTCCTCAAATGACCATCCCTACACAGCACCCACGTCCTGGCTTCTATAAAGAAATGGGGGTTAGGATAACTGTGGGGTGCTGTACTGGGGTGTGTAAATGTCACCCAGGAAGTGGGGGCTAGGTTGGGGTACTCACACTTCTGCGCCCCACAGGGCTCCTCCCACCTCCCCCAGCAGCTCAAGTTCACCACCTCTGACTCCTGCGACCGGATCAAGGACGAGTTTCAACTACTCCAAGCTCAGTACCACAGGTTAGACCCGAGCTGGGGGGCCTGACCCCAGGGACAGCAGCAGGAGGTACAGTGTGTACAGGGCCTGATAGGGACACCTGCCTGTCACCCCAGCACTCCACAGTTTAGGGTCATCCTCATCTACATAGCAAGTTTGAGCTAGTCTGGGCTACATTCGAACCTGGTCTCCCAAAACAAAACCTCCCCATGGTGCAGATGAGGACACTGAGGCACACAGCATGTAATGGCCTGAGAGGCCCTGACCCCAGCGAGCATATAACATTCATTTTAATACAAGATGCTGGGCACACAGAGAGGGTGAGTGATCAGTGCAGAGTCACATAGCAGCACCCCACTCTGTCCGATTTCCCCGGGTGGGGGGCTCTGGTCACCCACAGATTCTCCTGCTTCTCCCTGCCCCTGAACCTTTGCGTGTTTCTGAAGGGCTTATCATGTGGGGACCTGTGCTGGCCTGGAAGCATAGAGGTCACAGGTCTCCAAGGCATTGCACAGAAGTGAGGGAAAAAATTAAACGAGCTTCGAAAAGCGAGGCTGGGGAGCGGACGGGATAGCCTGGGGACCTGGGGGCCCAGCCACAGATACCCACTTGGCCTTATATCTTTGTGGACTTTGTTTTATATATCCCCCCAAATGGGGCGTGGACATGGGGCACAGGCCTGATATACCACCATTCAGGAGGCTGAGGCAGGAGGATTACCTTCCATTCCAGGCCAGCTTGGGCTACAGAGTGAGACTAAGATCTTGTCTCAAAAACAAATTAATAAATTAATAATAATAATAATAATAATAATAAAAGTATTGAATGACCCTCGTATTTCTCTAAAAACAAAAGCAAATAATTTTTAAATTTTTTCTATGATGTTATTTTTACTTATTTATTTTGACACAGGGTCTCATGTAGTCCAGGCTAGACTTGAATGCCTTATGCTCCTGCCTCCACCTCCCGAGTGCTAGAATGACACGTGTGCACCACCATGCCTGGTTTATGTGGTGCTAGAGATGAACCTAGGGCCTTGGGCATACTAGGCCAGTGCTCTGCCCACTGAACCACAAGCACTCTACCCACAGAGCTAAAAGCACTTTGCCCTTTGAGCTACAAGCACTGTACCCACTGAGCCAAAAGCACTCTACCTACTGAGCCCCAGGCCCAGCTTTGATTCCATGTTTAAAAGGAATTTACAAGCCGAGCGTGGTGGTGCACGCCTTTAATCCCAGGCAGAGGCAGGCGGATCTCTGTGAGTTCAAGGCCAGCCTGGTCTGCATAGCGAGTTCCAGGACAGCTGGGACTACAGGGAGACCCTGTCTCAAAGCTATTCCAGGAACTGGAGGGTAGACTTGTGCCAAGGTGCTGTGTGTCTTCCAGTAAGATGGACAACCTCTCTAAGCCAGTTTGTGTCTCTTGGTGTCAGGGCCTCCCACTGAGCCACATTCCCAACCTTTATTTATTATTTGTTTATTTAGAGACAGGATGGGACTCATGACTTCCCTTACCCTCCCAAGTGTTAAGATTTTTTTTTCTGAATTCTTTTTTTTAACCTTTTTTTTTTTTTTTTTTTGGTCTTTTTGAAACAGGGTCTCCTGTAGACCAGGCTGGCCTTGAATTCACAGAGATCCTCCTGCCTCTGCCTCCCAAGTGCTGGGATTAAAGGCGTGCACCACCATGCCCAGTACTTTTTTTGTTTTATGTGTATGCGTGTGTTGCCTGCATGTAGGTAAATGCACAAAGGACAGAAGAGGCTGTCGGATCCCCTAGTACTGGACTTTCAGACAGTTGTTAGCTGCCGTGTGAATGCTGGGATTCAAACCTGGGTCTTCTGCAAGAACGATCAGTGTTCTTAACTGCTGAGCCATCTCTCCAGCCCCCCCCTCTTTTTTTTCTTTTTGAAGCAGGGTCTCCCTGTAGCCCCAGCTGGTCACTATGTAGACCAGGCTGGCCTTGAACTCACAGAAATCTGCCTGCCTCTGCCTTCCGAGTGCTGGGACTACAGGCGTGTGCCACCATGTCTGGCTAGCCCCTTATTTTTATTTTATGTGTATGACTGTATTGCCCGTGTGTATGTAAGTGCACCCATGTCAAGCAATGCCCACAGAAGCCAGAAGAGGGCATTGGATCACTTGGAACTGGAGTTACAGATCTTTGTCAGCTGCCATGTGGGTGCTGGGAACTGAATCCAATCTTGCTCTGCAAGAGCAGCCAGTACTTTTAGCCTCTGCAGCCCTGGATTTTTTTTTTTAATTATTAATTAAATTTTATTTTTTGCGTATGAGTGTATTGCCTGTATGTAGGTAAATGCACCCATGTCATGCAATGCCTGTGGAGGTCAGAAGAGGGCATCAGATCCCCTGGAACTGGAGTTACAAAGGATTGTTAGCCATCATGTGGGTGCTGGGAATTGAACCTGGGTCCTCTGCAAGAGCAGCCAGGGCTCTTAACCACTGAGCCATCTCTCCAGCCCCCTGGATTTTTTTTTAATGGCACACATTATGGAAAATTTTGTGAGGAGTAGTATACACCAAATGTAGCTGACTGTGTCAAAAAGATATGAATTGCTAGCGTCCTGGGGTACAAGCATGAAGAATTTATTTAGTGCTTACTGTATACACAGTACTGGAAAAGGTTTTTTGTTTTGTTTTTGAAGCAGGGTCTCATGTAGCCCAGGCTGACCTCAACTCCACCCCCACCCCATGTAGCTGAGGCTGACTCTGAACTCCTGATCCTATTACCTCAACCTCCACCTGGGAAGACAGGCACGTGTCACCACATTTGGTTTAGGTGGGGTGGGAATGAACCCAGGTTCAGTGCATGCTGGGTAAGCTCTGCCCACTGAACCTAGCCCCAGCTGGACTTTGATGCTTTTCCTATTCTCACTGAGGAACCCCTGCCCTTCAAACAAGGAAGGTTGCTGCTTCAAACAGGTAGAAACTGGGGCTCTGAGAGGCAGAGCAGCTGGTCTAGGGTCCCACAGCATGTGAGTGCCCAGCTGATGTGGTCAGGGCTGGGCCAGGAGAGGCCCCTTAGCCTGGACCCCTTGGGGCCCTCCCCAGAGCCGCACCCCTGGCCTGGGCAGAGAGCTCCCTCTTTGCAGTACCCATTTCTGGGTGGAGAGTCCCTGCAGCCTGTGAGTTTGGGTGACAAACCTGCTGTGTGACCTTCCGACCTTCAGCTGGTCCCACCCTCTCTGGGCAGCCAGAGGCCTGTGTCCAAAGGAAATAAATGCAAGGGGAGGCACTCCTGACCTTGGTGGCTTTTGCTACTAATTCACCATGAGGGAAACTGAGGCAGCCACACCTGTTCAGCATCACAGAGAACTCGAGGTGTATTTGAATATAGCCAGATATGATGTTTGACCCTTCTAAGTTTGTAATTTAGGGCTAGGGCTCAGTGGGTAGAGTGCTTGTATCTTAGTTGGTAGAGTGATTGTAGCTCAGTGGGTGGAGTGCTTGCAGCTCAGACTGTCACCCCAGCACTTGGGTGGTGGAGGCAGGGGGATCAGGAGTGCAAGGTCATCCTCAGTTAGAGTGAGTTCAAGGCCAGCCTGGGCTACTTGACAGCTTGCCATAGTCTGAGGCCTGGCCCTCCAGCTGGGGTACCCTGAGCTCTGAGAGTCCCATTCCCTCTGGGGTCCTCAGCTGCCCCTTTTGTGTCCTCAGCCTGAAGCTGGAATGTGACAAACTGGCCAGTGAGAAGTCAGAGATGCAGCGTCACTATGTGATGGTAAAGTCCAGGGGTGGGTGGGGGGTAAGGGGTTGGAGGAATAGGGGGCTGGCATGGGGGAGGGGAACTGCTATGGGGGCACCTTGCTGCCCAGGCACCTGCTACTGGACTCCGGCTGGAACCAGCCTGGCCACCAGCCCAGGTAGAGGCTGAGGTGCCAAACCACCCAGTGGGAGCCACAGCCACAGCAGGACCCACGGCCCCTCCCCTCCAGTCCTTCCGCTGGGCATCCCTTTACCCTTTCCCCACCAGAGCCCTCCTACCCAGTAAACCTCTTGGGATGGTATGTGGGAGTTTGAGAAGTGGACCTGCAGCTCCCACAGGGGCCATGGGCTTTGTACCTGGGGTTTTGCAGAGTAAAGAGGAGCCCGCTGCCCCTGGGATAATGAGAGGGTTTAGAAAGCAGGGCTCAGCCCTGGAAGACCGAGTGAAAAGATTAGAAAGCCACCAGAAGAGGGCTGGGAAGTGGGGAGAGAGGAGCCAGGGACTCTGGGGCCCCGCCCTTCCCAACCCCATCTGCTCACTTTCCTCTCCATTCCCTACAGTACTACGAGATGTCTTATGGGTTGAACATTGAAATGCATAAGCAGGTGGGCCTCAGTTTCCTCCTCCTTCATGCCTCCCACCACCCCCAGGCTGAGTGCTGAGGCTACCCCAAAACCCCTTTACCCCTAAGATGGACCCAAGCTCCCCCTCTCTGCCAGGTGCCTCCCCCCCCAGCACCCACTGCCTGTCTGTCCTCAGTGGGTGGGACCTGGGGGAGCCCCTGCCTCACCCACTATCCTGACCTCTGCTTCCCCCAAATCCTGCCCTTCCCCACTCCATCGAGGAATGCTGCTGTGTTCCAGGCGGAAATTGTGAAGAGGCTTAACGGCATTTGTGCCCAAGTCCTCCCCTACCTGTCCCAGGAGGTAAGCCCTGATATCACCAGCAGGTGACTGGGAGGCTGGGCACCCTGCTGGGCATTCCTTTGGTCTGAGGTCTAGGTCTTTGGTCTCTGAACTTAACCAAAGTTGGGCTGTGGAGAGGCATCCCCAGCTGGAGTCCCAGACTGGAGAATTTGCCTGTGGCAGTGGCTTCCTGGTAACCATAGCCAGAAAGGAAAGACTAGTGGGTCCTGCAGACCAACTTTCAGGAAGAAGTGTAGGGGTGAAAGAACGCCATAGAAGAGCCCAGCATGGTGGCGAGTACTTTTAACCCCAGCACTCAGGAGACAGGCAGTGGATTTCTGTGAGTTCCCGGCCAGCTGGACCTATAGGAAGACCCTGTCAAAAAATATCCCACAAAACCCCTAGAAGCAAGAGTTCTCCATCAGAGTGCACTGGGCCCTCCCAGCTCTGAGTCCGCAGGACCAGGACTTTGTGCACGGTTTTGCAGGTTGCAGCTGTACAACCTGTCTGTTATGTCTTTGGACCTGGACCCTTTCCAAACGCACTGTTTCTTGTTGTCCCCTCACTGTCCCATCATGTCTCTGTCCCCCCGCCCCCTCTCTGTCCCCCTGCCCCCTCTCTGTCCTCTCTGCGATGAACATCCTCCCTCTGCCCCCCGCACGTCTCTTTCTCAGCATCAGCAGCAGGTCTTGGGAGCCATCGAGAGAGCCAAGCAAGTCACAGCCCCCGAGCTGAACTCCATCATCCGGGTAAGCTGGGATGAGCTGGTGACTGACAGGTGACTGATAGTGACTGACTGACAGGTGACTGACGGTGACTGAGGTGACTGATGGATGGCAGCAGCCCCTGGAGACAGCCATGGCTGATGTCCTCTGTCCCCCCTGCAGCAGCAGCTCCAGGCTCACCAGCTGTCCCAGCTGCAGGCTCTGGCTTTGCCCCTGACACCGCTGCCCGTGGGGCTCCAGCCACCCTCGCTCCCTGCAGTCAGCGCGGGCACCGGCTTGCTGTCCCTCTCTGCACTGGGCTCGCAGGCTCACCTCTCCAAAGAGGACAAGAACGGACACGACGGGGACACCCACCAGGAGGATGATGGCGAGAAGTCAGATTAGCCCTGGGCACAGGGCGTTTGGGGGGTGGGACGGGGATGGGGAGGGTGGGAGGGGGGACAGCAGGGGAGACTGGCACAGAGAGGTGCAGTGTTCAGAGGGCCACACACAGCATGGATGTGAGGGTGATCTAAACTCAGCTTGTGTTTATAATAGCCACCCCAGCTTTGACTCTCCATCCCTGGCTCTGACCCCAAAGGGAGACTCCAGGTCATAGGGAGCACGCCCCCTGAGATTCATTCATCCTCCTCACACCCGTTCCACACACATTGACAGCTGGCTCAGGGCTCCTCTGCAGCCACCAGCCTTGGCCCAGAACATGATGCTTCCCACCCTGGGCACTGCAAATCTGCCCCCCAGAGCCCCCAGCTCTCCCTTCTCTGCTTCCTGCCCTGCACATCTGCTCTGCTAGGGTCCAGACACCCTCCCCACCCACCCCTCACCCACAAAAGAAAGGGGCGAGGGAGGCAACAGCAAGCTTGGCTTGGAGACTGCACTGTGGGGTTGGGGGTGGGCACCCCATGAATTTCTCTTCTCCCTTTCCCCCCAATAAACTTGAGGGTTCTGAAGTTGCTCTGTTTATTATTCTTTTTCCCCCAGTATGCTCGCTTGTCTTTTAAGAAAGGGGATTCAAGAGAAAAAAAAAAGATAAAAATGTTTAAAGAAAAAATTCAGAGCATCCGCTTGTGTCTGTGTATATAGTTAGCTGCGGTCGCGTTGTCTTTGATCTCTGCAGAGAGAAGTGGGAAATGCTGTATTGAAGGTGGGTTCTAGCTGTGCCTTTCAAATAAAAACATTAAAAGGTTGGCTGCTGTATCCCTGCCTCTGTCTTGGGGGGGAACCCCTTTTCCCCAGGGTACCCAGTGTCCCAGGACAAGAGACTCACAGGACAGGCAAAGGCCAAACTTTACAGTGTTTGGAAGCCCAGAGAGGGTGAGCCCCTGACCTGGGGTCACACAGCACACACAGCTTGGTGCTCGTGATTGAAGCTGTTTTGACAGAGGACAAGTTGAGATGAGGTGGCTAATTGGTAGCTAATGAGATAGGGTTGCTAATTGACATTTTAGAGATGTCATCATAGCTGAGCCTTAGTGACCTTCCAAGAAATTGTCTGGGTATTTCCCAGCCCAACCTCCAAGTTTGACTGCCCTGAGGAAGCCCCAGCACCTTCTTAAATATATTGGTCTTTTTGAGACAGGGTCTCCCTGTAGCCCCATCTGACCTGGAACTTGCTATGTAGACCAGGCTGGCCTTGAACTCACAGAGATCCACCAGTCTCTGCCTCCGGAGTGCTGGGATTAAAAGTGTGCACGACCATGCCTGGTTCTATCATACATATTTTTAAAATATATTTTATTTATTATTTTTATTTTATGTGTATGAGTGTTATGCCTGCATGCAGGTAAGTTCACCCGTGTCATGCAGTGCCTGAGAGGACAGAAGAGGCTGTAGGATCCCCTGGAACTGGAGTTACAGACAGTTGTTAGCTGCCATGTGGGTGCTGGGATTCAAACCCGGGTCTTCTGCAAGGTCAGTGTTCTTAACCGCTGAGCCATCTCTCCAGCCCTATCTTATATATTTTTAACGTTTATTTACTTGCATGTGTGTGTGTGTGTGTGTGTGTGTGTGTGTGTGTGTGTGTGTGTGTGTGTGTGTAGGTCAAAAGACAACTTGAAGCTGTCTCCTTCTACCATGCCATGTTGGTAATAAAACTCAGGTTATCAGACTTGTCTGCAAGCCCCCTTGCTCACAGCCCTCTTACCAACCCTCTTTTTATGTTTGAAGGCAAGGTTCTTAATCGAGACCACACCTGTAGGGTGTGGGTTCTGGGGTCATCCTGGAGCTTGGGGCACAGTGCACACTTGGCTTCTGCAGTCTGAGGGTCAGTAGGTCAAAGTGGGGGCAGGACTCCAAGCTCCCTACCTCTGATCCTGAGAAACCAAACTGGGGAACCTGGGAGAAGGCTGTGACCTCATTACCCCAAGGTCCTTTTGGGGGCCCCAACCCTGAGGTCTCCTGCCTGCAGCTGGGGTGGGGGACACGGGGTCCCAGGGGAGAACTCTGAGCCATCCTGACTTTGGGTAATTGATCTGCAGATGGGCTAGGAGCCCAGTGAGGGGAGATGGAGGAGAAAGAGGAGGAGGAGAAGGAGATGGAGATGTAGGAGGAGATGGAGGAGGAGGAGATGGAGGAGGAGATGGAGGAAGAGGAGATGGAGGAGGAGGAGGAGCTGGAGGAGGAGCAGATGGAGGAGGAGCAGGACGAGGAAATGGAGATGGAG